AAATCATCATAATAATTGAACAAAATATTTTGCTCTTTATTACATTGATATTTATTTGCACGTATTTGACCGCAGCATTTTATTGGGTAATTATACAGATTAAGGGACACCGCGCCGATGACCTTGACCTTGACGTATGTTGTCAAGGTCATAATCCTGAGTGCCTTCATAGGTTTTTACTTTCAACACGAAGCGACTTTCACTCCTCTCTCCCCCTGCAAAGGGACGCACGACTCTCACTTTCGACTCTCAACCGCTCTCCCCCCCTGCAAAGGGGCATACGACTCTCACCTTCGACTCTCACCCCCCTCTTCCCCCTGCAAAGGGACGCTGCTTTTTTTGTTCAAAATTTTTTTAAACAATAACTAAAACCTTCTGAAGGACCGCCAACTAAAACCTTCTGAAGGTCACTCAGGATTATGATCTTGATAATGTCAAGGTCGAGGTCATCGGCGCGGTGACCCCTAATCTGTATAATTACCTTTTATTGAGTCAAATAATTTTTTTTTTCGTTGAACAAATTTTTTTTCAGTGTATCGCGATAAGATACCACAATAAGATATCGCGATGAGATATCGTGATGAGAGATCGCGAGATGACCGCACTATCCGTATAGACAATCCCGATGATCTACCAGAAGACCGACGAAGAATTAAATATCCTCTGTGAGTGTGTTCATTTGATCCCTTGATTTATGGATGTGTTGTCTTTCGTCCCTTGTGGCAGCCAATACATGAGTCTGTCGGAGGGTGGATTTAGTCTGTCGCTACCGAAATCTTTCGTGGACTTTCATGATAATGAGTTTATTCTAGACTTTAACACTTGAAAAATGTAATAAAAATCCACAAAGCAATTGTTTTTTATTTAGTGCAATTCGTGAAACTTTTGGGAAAAGGAAAACTTATCCGAAATGCCATAATGTTTAAAATTAGCGAACATCTAGATCAGTGGTCGCAAGGATTTGCACATTTCGGGCCGATTCCGGCGCGCGAGCACCACCGCACGGCCGAGCCGCCGCGCCGGGCGGTCACGTGACGCTCCGACTCAGGGGCGCTCTTATACCAGAAATATACTGGGAGCGCGCCTTCCGCCAAATTATTATTGAAATGTCTTTATTAAATAATTTATATATAATTATATTATTTATTTAATAATTTATATTATATTAAATAATTTATATTTATATTAAATAATCGATTAACGTAAAATTTTCTATTGTAAATTTATTCATTATTCGTAGTTTTCTAATA